AAAAAAAAAAAAAAAAAATTCAACAAGTGAATAGATAACCTGTGATATATCCATATAAGGGAAACCTCAGGAACAGAAAGAAACAACCAGTTGATAGATGCAACAACATGGATGAATCACAAAATAACTATAATGAGTGAAATAAGTCAGGCAAAAGAGAATACGTTATTACATGATTCATTTAAACAAAATTCCAGAAAATTATTAATCTATAGTGACAAAAAGTAGATCAGTGGTTGCATGGAAAAAGGGAAGGGAGAAGGAGACAATCGATAGTCAAGGAGCAATAGGAAACTTTTGCAGTAATATATAGTATCTTCATTATCTTGGTTGTAATGATGGTTTCACAAGTATATGTGCATGTCAAAGTCATCAAACTGTGCATTTAATTGTGTACAGTTCAGTTCAGTCACTCAGTCGTGTCCAACTCTTTGCGACCCCATGGACTGCAGCACGCTAGGCCTCCCTGTCCATCACCAACTCCCAGAGTTTACTCAAACTCAAGTCCATTGAGTCAGGGATGCCATCCAAGCATCTCGTCCTCTGTCGTCCCCTTCTCCTCCTGCCAATCTTCCCCAGCATCAGGGGCTTTTCCAATGAGTTAGTTCTTCACATCAGGTGGCGAAAGTTTGGAGTTTCAGATTCAACATCAGTCCTTCCAATGAATATTCAGGATTGATTTCCTTTAGGATGGACTGGTTGGACCTCCTTGCACTCCAAGGGACTCTCAAGAGTCTTCTCCAACACCACGGTTCAAAAGGATTAATTCTTCAGCACTCATCTTTCTTTATAGTCCAACTTTCACATCCATACATGACTACTGGAAAAATCTCAGCCTTGACTAGACAGACCTTTGTTGACAAAGTAATGTCTCTGCTTTTTAATATGCTGTCTAAGTTGGTCCAGTTGCTGTCCATCTTTTTTTCCAAGGAGTAAGCGTCTTTTAATTTCATGACTGCAGTCACCATCTACAGTGATTTTGGAGCCCTGAAAAATAAANCTTTTCTCCTTTGCTTTTTGAGTCTCTTCTTTGTAAGAAGAAGCTATTTGTAAGGCCTCCTCAGACAACCATTTTGCCCTTTTGCATTTCTTTTCCATGGGGATGGTCTTGATCACTGCCTCCTGTACAGTGTTACAAACCTCCGTCCATAGTTCTTCAGGCACCCTATCAGATCTAATCCCTTGAATCTCTTTGTCACTCTCACTGTATAATCATAAGGGATTTGATTTAGGTCATACCTGAATGGTCTAGTGGTTTTCCCTACTTTCTTCGTTTAAATTTGAATTTTGCAATAAGGAGTTCATGATCTGAGCCACAGTCAGCTCCCGGTCTTGTTTTTGCTGAGTCTGTAGAGCTTTTCCATCTTTGACTGTAAAGAATATAATCAGTCTGATTTTGGTGTTGACCGTCTGGTGATGTCCACATGTAGAGTCCACATGTGTTGTTGGAAGAGGGTGTTTGCTATGACCAGTGTGTTTTCTTGGCAAAACTTAGATTTTGTCCTGCTTCATTTTGTACTCCCAAGACCAGACTTGCCTGTTACTCCCGGTATCTCTTGACTTCCTTCTTTTGCATTCCAGTCCCCTATGATGAAAAGGACATCTTTTTTTTGGTGTTAGTTCTCAGAGGTCTTGTAGTTCTTCATAGAACTGTTTCTTCAGCATTAGTGATTGGGGCCTAGACTTGGATTGCTATGATATTGAATGGTTTGCCTTGGAAATGACCCAAGATCATTCTGTCATTTTTTTTACTGCATTTTGGACTGTTTTGTTGACTGTGAGGGCTACTTCACTTCTTCTAAGGGATTCTTGCCCACAGTGGTAGATATAATGGTCATCTGAATTAAATTCGCCCATTCAAGTCCATTATAGTTCACTGATGCCTAAAATGTCGACATTCACTCGCCGTCTCCTGTTTGACCACTTCCAGTTTACCTTGATGGAAAGACCTAACATTCTAGGTTCCTAGGCAATATTGTTCTTTACAGCATCGGACCTTGCTTCCGTCACCAGTCAGATCTACAACTGGGCATTGTTTTTGCTTTAGCTCCGTCTCTTCATTCTTTCTGGAATTATTTCTCCACTGATCTCCAGTAGCATATTGGGCACCTACTGACTTGGGGAGTTCATCTTTCAGTGTCCTATCATTTTGCCTTCTCATACTGTTCATGGGGTTCTCAAGGCAAGAATACTGATGTGGTTTGCCATTCCCTTCTCCAGTTTTGTCCAAACTCTCTACCATAACCCATCTGTCTTTGGTGGCCCTACACAGCATGGCTCATAGTTTCAGTTTATGGCTCATAGTGTATAGTTTACTGTACCTCAATAAGGCTGATAAATTATACCTCAAACAGCTTTTAAAAAAATATTTTTTAAACACAGGAACCACTTTGTACAAAGGCACCAGATCAGATCAATAAACTGTTAAAAAACTTTTAATGATTCACTACTGGGGCTTCCCTGGTGGCTCAACTGGTAAAGAATCTTCCTGCAATGCAGGAAACTCGGATTTGATCCCTGGGTTGGAAAGGTCCTGTGGAGAAGGGAATGGCAACCCACTCCAGTATTTTCGCCTTAATAATTCCATGGACAGAGGAGCCTGGCAGGCTGCAGTCCATGGTGTCGCAAAGAAGTCGACATGACTGAGTGACTTCCACTTTTTACTTTACCGCTGAATAAAACTGATGTCAAGAAAAAGAGAATAGCTTAACTGTACAAAGTATTTAGGATAGGATATGTGAATGAAGTGATATTTAAATGAAGTTTTGAAGACAGAAAAAGATTTTGATGTGTAGACATATATATAAGGGCATTGCCTGCATAGAAAGATTGACATGTTTATTTCTACAACAAATATTCATTTGCATTTGTGTACCCAAGCAGTGAGCTAAACACTGTGAAAATCTTTTCAACTTCTCTCAGCAAATTTCCAGACTAAGTGTGTGAAATTTGGAGGCCAAGAATATTACACTCAAAATGTGGCTGCACTTTTCCTAGTGCTCCTAGTCACTAACTTCTTGAATAATTTTTCCATATTGTGGAAGTAAGGAATTATATTAAAAGGCACCAAAATATATAAATAAATTCAATGTAAATAAACATGCAGTTTTATTACATATTCATATGCACATGATTAATAGATCATTTCAGAATTACTATACTGACTTTAAAATGCAAAACTATGTAGCTGATTATCTGAGCAAAAAAAGTTCTTAATCACCTTGAGATTCTTTTTTCTCTTCTGAAGAAGTATGGGTTACAGATAGAGTAATCATGTGATTTCTTGTACAGACTTTTGAGAGTGATGGATGCTGATAATTTTTATTCTGGGACAATAGGACTAGGCTATTCTAGACAAAATAGGATATATAGTTACAACCTACAGGGAGATTGTTTTATTTTAAGGCTACAAGAACAGATTCTTGAGTTCTACCCCAGACCTACTGAATCAGAATCTCTGGTGCAGGATTTGAAAAGTTATAACTAATTTCCATGCTTAGGAAGCCTTAGAGACTGAAGTGATACAAGGCTCTTCCAATTCTAAAAGTCTATGTTTAATAAGGGAATTTTGAACATGCACTGGGTATCAGATGATGTGGGGGAATAATTAATTTTCCTTGTTTAACAATGATGTTGTGATAAGAGGATGCCCTTATTTTTAGGAAATACACAGCTGCATTTGAGTGATATGTAATGATATGTGCATCTTATTATACTTTCAACTGATTCTAGGAATACTTACATACAAATAAAGCTGATAGGTATATACAAACACATTCACTGGACTAACTCTAAATTTTTCAGTATGTTCTAAATTCCTCATTATAAAATATTGGGAGGAAAAGAAGGAAAGGGAAATTCTGTCTATAGATAGACAGTATTATTGCTATAAATATGACTTTTAAGAACTATGACCAAAAAGATGGCAATACAAATGATTACTAAATTAGGAGGCTGGGACTGACATATACATACCACTATATATATAAAATGGAAAAAGAGTAAAAAAAAAAAAACCCACAATGAATATATGTATATGTACAACTGATTCACTTTGCTGTACTCCTGAAACTAACACATTTTAAATCAACAATACTCCACTAAAATTTTTTGAATTATTAAAATAAAAACAAAAGCAAATGATTACTAATATATCCAGGGACTTCCCTGACTGACCCAGTGGTTAAAACTCCATGCTTCCCATTCAGGAAGCACAGTCAGAGAACTAAGATTCTGTATCCTGGGGCAGCCAGGGGGAAAAAAAAAAGCAAAGCAGTTACTTACTGAGTAACTGCCAAAACGAAAAAAAAAAAAAAAATCCAGCCTGCAATTCCTCTTCTTGGAATTTTTCCTAAGAAAAAAAATTAAGTGACAAAAATATTCGCTCCAAAATAGTTTAAAATAATGTCATTACTGTAATACTCGAAATGTATAATAATAGCATGCTTAAGTAAATTACACTGCATTCAACGAAGGGCTTATTATGTCACTATTAAAATAATCTTTGTCAACAATATAGTGCATACATTGTCCTATGCTGTTAACATAACTAGATGCAAAAAAGCATCCGAAATTATGTCTGTGCTGTTAACTATATAAAATTTGTGAATTCAAGTGGACAGAAGTTTATATGAAAAATGCTGTTTGAAAAGCAGTATTTTCTCCCTTCATTTCAATTTTTATTACTATTTCGAATTCTACTGATGATGCTGTGCAACAAAAATGCGTTTTATAAAAAAAAGTTGTTAACTGTTACCTTAATTTGGTCCCATAGGCAATACAGTTTAGTATATAATTCGTTGAACAACTGAATAAAACTTCAAGTACCTCAATAGATTGATACTTAATTTAGGATATCTACAGAGTCGTTTTGCTGACTACAAATATAACAAACATTACGTGTAAACCGTTCTGCTGAAAGGTTTCCAAACATCACAGGACCACCCACCAAAATGTGTGGGCTAAATGCACATCCGTAATCATGGCAAAAATAATACTACCTGTCACACAGGATAGGCATGTCAGACTTTTCTCCGCGAAAGCCTTCTAGTCCCAAACTGCCTCTTACTTTCACCAGACTGAAATGGTTCCAGAGTCCCAGGCAAGGGAGGAGACTGTTGCCTTGCCCAGGAGGCTGGAAACCGCACCTTATGAGCGAAAGGTTTCCAAGGCCCTTCAACGGAAATTCGAAGCACTTGAAGATTCCCTAGTTACTAGGTTTAGTTGCTAAGGCACCAACCGTCTCACAGGAAGAGGGGTACGGTGCAATCGCTTTTAGCGTCGTAGCGAATCCTCTCAAAACCGAGCTCATTTGTTCCGGGAGGAAACATTCAGCTCCTCTAAGAGCGTCGGGAAGGAGAGAAGCTGGGAGTGACGCCTCTGAGCCGCGGAGGATTGTGGGAGGAGGTTGTCTCCAATTTCTCCTACCCCCTCCCCCCGTCCCAGCCAAGATGTCTGACATGGAGGATGATTTCATGTGCGATGATGAGGAGGACTACGACTTGGTGAGGCGCAGGGAACAAAACTCTGGGGCTGGAGGTGGTTTCTGGCTTTAGGAGCCGGGGCAGGGGCGGCCGCGGCCTCTCCCCGTAGAACATGTGCTCCTTCCAGCCTCTCCCGATGCAGTGACAGGACGAGTTTACCTCCTCCCCCTTCCCGCACCGGGCCCGCGCCCTGTTTCTCCAGCATGGGGGAAGGGAGGGTAAAGGAGGCAGCGAAGGGGGTCCCGAGCGTTGAGCTCCAAATCCGAGCGCTTCTTTAGTTTGCAAGGGCACCCCTGGGCTCCAGCATCAGGTTCTCATTGCCTCCTCCCTGTCGTGCGAGCCGTTTTGAGGACTGTTCAGTGGTCTAGGCCCCGGCTCTGCCCTTTCGGGCCCAGTCTTCCTGTCCCCTCTTCATACTTGAATTGAAAGAGTGCGAAATGCTGGAAGAGGGGTCCAAAAACTATGGGGCCTTCCTGCTCCCAGACCTGACGCCACTTGTGAATCTAGAAACAGAGCTTAATTAGTCTTGTCCAGGCTCCGTTTTGTTACAAGGTAAAGGTGCCATAGAGAATTGAGAGCCAGGCTAGCTTTTGAAAAGTAGTTTAACTACTTCTTTAAACAGAAAAGCTGGGGAGGAGGTTTAACTTTTTGTTTGTTTAGGGTTTGGGAGGTGGGGTGGTATGAGAGAATTGACTCAATGGTTTTTTTCTTGACTCAGAAATTTCCTAGTATTCAGAGTTTAAAATATCAACAGTGTAGAACAAAACGAATTTATGTAACCGAATGGTGATTTTTAAAGATTCAAGGTTTAATTTATGAACAGACTTAACAATTTTTTAAATATTCACTAACATTTCAAGTTGATATTCAAAAACATTGTCGGTGTCGGAACTAAGAACGATTATCTGGACCACGAATTAGCGTCAACTTGGCTTTGCTTTTTATTTGGGGGAGTTTTTGTGCATGGTTCTTGTGTGTTATGGTGATGCTGCATTATCATAAAGTTATGAAGTAGATGCTCAGGGAAGTCTGGCTCATCTTATATTTTAAGTGCCAGAGAGTCTCAAGATAATTAATGTATCATTTTGAATTAGTGTAAATCTTTGTATAGTCGTTTGTAATTAATCTTTCACTTTTAAAAGAAAGCACTTGCAAAAGGGAGAGGGAAGTGTTTGTTATTACCTGAAAGTCAATAGTGTTGATAATTCTTAAAGGTAGTTTTGCTAGTAGTAAGATTTCTGCCTTACATTTTAGTTTGTGCAAACCAAGCCAGTTTTAGGCAGTGGATTAGATCCTTCAAGAATGTTACTTGTACTGTTTCGTGCATTTTTATTTATTACATGTTTACGTATATTGCAGGTATTTTTTAACTATGGAAGTGTTTCTTTTAACTGTTTTACCTAGTTTCAGTTTGTGTTTTTACTTGTTTGTGCATATCTCTTTTGTAAGCAATAGTTTTTTGAATACATAACTTACTAGCACTAGGATTAAGACTGTAATGTAGGAATGGCAATGAGACTCTTACTGCCCCTTGAAGTACAGAGTTCATTTTTGCAAGGATTTTAATTAAGTATAAATGATTTAACTTGGCTGTGTTTCTCCAGCCTTTGAGGGCTTACACCACGTGTGCAATATAAAATTGAGTGTGTAATTTTAGCCTCTTTTTTTAAAATTTCTTAACCCGAAAAGGTGAGATTTTACACAACCACATAATTAATGATCCCCCCCAGCATTCTGTTAAATAGTCCTGCCTCATATCTCTCTTACATAGATATCATATTAATTTATTTTTTACTTCCTTAATTTCCTTAAGCCACTATAAACATGTTTATTAATTTTTAAACATACATTAAAAAAGATCAAGCACAGCTGGTTGCCACTTCATGCTTATCTGTTGGCATAAGAAAAGTTGTTGGTTTTGTTTTCTAATATTTGCCTGCGCCTTTTTTGTTTGTTTCTTTGGATTTAAGGAGTCTAAATCAACTTACTGTTTTAGGGAAACTTCTCTTTTATTGAAAAATACATTGTTTGTTGGATAGTTCATCATCACCTCGTTTTAGTGAAAAAGTTAATGAGAGCCATGAGTAGCCTAACTACAGATACATTCAGTATATATTTTATCAATTGTCTATTGATAAAGTTTAATACCCGAAATCACTTCTTGAGCTAATAGAAAAGAGAATTAAGTTGGTTTAAAAAAAGAAGAGGAAACAAGTAAGAAATTAATTCAGTATGCTTGATCTCTTATTTCTAAGATCTTTTGGATTTCTGAGGCAGAAGCAGGTATTTTCTAAGCATAGTAATTTATGTAGCAGTGAATGGAGAGAAGATGGTACTGGTAAATGTGTTAATTCAATGTTAATTTTACAGATTTACATACAATAGTGTTAATAATAATAATAAATACTATCATGTCATTCATTAAGTTAATAAGGCCATTGATGAGTTAAACTGTGTTATAATTCCACAATCCAGCCATTCCAGCTTGAAGTTGATGAATACTTCTAACAGTCTTTTTAGAAAGGATTTAAGACAGAGCGACTTCATACCAAAAAGTATTCTTTAGTAGTTCCTGTTATAGGTAGGGCATTGTATGTTTGAAAAATGTTATTGTAAGGGGAAAATAAAATGGTGAATAGATAGACTAATTCCATTTGTTTAAGTATATTACCAAACAGTGAGCTTCGTTATAATCATCGTGTGTGTGTGTGTGTGTGTGTGTGTGTGAGTGAGTGAGTGAGAGAGAGAGAGACTGACTCAGTCATGTCCAACTCTTAGTGACCCCGTGGACTGAAGCCTGCCAAGCCCCGCTCTCCATGGAATATTGTAGACAAGAATACTGGAATGGGTTGCCATTTCTTTCTCCATAATCATCCTGGTTAGGTTTATAGTTGTGATTATTGAATGAATGTTTATTACTATTGTTGCCAGTGCTAAGTCACTTCAGACGTGTCTGACTTTTTGCAGCCCTATTGACTGCAGCCCCCCAGTCTCCTCTGTCCCTGGGATTCTCCAGGCAAGGATACTGGAGTGAGTTACCATGCCCTCCTCCAAGGGATCTACCCTGCCCAGGAATTGAACCCATGTCTCTTACATCTCCTGCATTTGCAGTCAGGTTACACTGTGATTAGTGAATAAATGTTTATTACTGTTGTTATTCATGCCTTAACAGATAGCTGTTTTAATGCCCTAGAAATTTACTTCTTTTGGGGAGGGGTGGAGAAGAGTCTTAGCTACAAGATATCTTACAGAATCTCTTTGTCACAGTTTTAACAAGTTCAGGCTAACGATGTCATTATAACAAACCTTAGAACATGGTTTAGCAAATTAAAATATATTCTAAAAAGATTTTTTAATTGACATGACGACTTTGAAAAAGCAGTAGATTAATCAGGCTCCCCTGGTGGCTCAGACCGTAAAGAATCTGCCTGCAGTGCAGGAGACCTGGGTTCCATCCCTGGATCTGGAGGATTCCCTGGAGAAGGAAGTAGCAACCCACTCCAATATTCTGGCCTGAAAAATCCCATGTACAGAGGAGCCTGGTGGGCTAAAGTCCATAAGGTCACAAAGAGGCAGACACAACTGAGAGACAAAAAAATAACTTCAGGGTTTTGTGTGTTTAATATTAAGACATTCATGTCATCCATCGTGCATATAAGGAGCTTGCAGATTATAGATTATTTTATTCTGAGACTGTTGTCTCCATCACTTACAGCTTGACAAAATGTTGGGGATCTTTAAGCATAGATTTTCAGGCAATATCATTTTTGTTTGAAATTTGTTTTGAATTTTGTTTGCTCTGGGCCAGTGTTTATCTGCTATACGCACATTGGGAATTCTGAATGTAGTCTTCACAGAAACAAAATTTGATTATACAGTTGAGGCTTTTGAAAGGAACATAACAGGAAATTCTCTTGACAGTCCGGTGTTTAGAACTGAGCACTTTCACTGCCATGGGCCCAGGTTTGATCCGTGGGCTTCCCTCATAGCTCAGTTGGTAAAGAATCTGCCTGTATTGCGTGAGACACCGGTTCGATTCCTGTGTTGGGAAGATCCCCTGGAGAAGGGATAGGCTACCCACTCCAGTATTCTGCCCTGGAGAATTCCATGAACTGCATGGGGTTGCAAGGACTAAGCGACTCACTTTCTGGGGAATTAAGATCCTGCAAGCCATGCAAAGCTGCCCCACCCCACCCCCAAAAGGGCATGTTTAATTGTAAATAATTGGAAACACCCCCCAAGTTGTCAATAGTAGGAGAATACTATTAATACACATGAGGTAGTAATAGGTAAAATATATCCATGTGATGGAAAGTATGTCAGCATTTCAAATCACACTTCTAAACAATATTCAGTGATATGAGAAGAAAAACTTGGTAAGTTATTCAGGACTCTTGCGTGTAGGGAGGGAGAGTACAGGAATACATGTCAGATCAACTTGAACGGTAAAGAACATAATATTGGCTCATATCACCAAGAAGTGTAAATGTAACAGGGTTCATGACTTAGATAACGATGCTGGGTCTTTTTCTGCCTGTGTCTCTCTTCCTGGGCTGCCTTCCTCACCGTATTGGCTTAATTGCCTTCATAGTATATCACAAAATCTTGTAATGTAATGTGTTATCTTCCTAGTATTATAACCCCAAAGGCAAAAGCATCTTCCTTGCTAACTCTAGCAATGAAACCCTAGAAGGGACTTTTATGGATTCTCCTTAGCTCTGGGCCTTCTGAATCACTGACTCACTGTGAGAGGGAGGATAGATGGCTTGC